GAAGTGATAGGTGTCTTATCATGTTAACATGTTTTTGTGAGGAATATTAAACCAAAAAACATAAATGAAGAATTTGTTCTGCTGGATTCTAAAAATCTGTGTTTGACGGGGAGCCATCCAAAGTTACCTAGAGAAGAATCGGATCCAGCTCATCTTCTTGCCACGCCTTAGCTCTGGATGGGCCAGCCGTAACTAATCCACGGCCACTGAGGGACTTCGGGCGGGGCAGAAGTACCACATCAGACTGAAGCCTTCCCTCTCACCAACACCCCATCATTCCTCCCTCATCAACATCCATCCTGAGAATTAGCCCCGTCTCCTCTGCTCCTCCCTCCAGCTGCTTGCTGCCCAGCTGCCGAAACACCGAGAGTCAGCCCAGCAGCCTTCCCTTTCCAACTGCCTCTGCTCTCCAAACCCCCTGCCTTGCCTCTCTCAGCCCCCAGTTCTGTCCTGAAGAAGCTTCTGGGAATATCCTCAGCACCCTGTGTTCTGCTCTAGGGAAGTCTAAAGTTCAGGGCTTTAGGCAATTAACCTCAAGGCCTCTCAGTGGGCTAGAGATGAATGACCCAGGGAGCGCTCCTGCAGAAATGGTTAGAGGAAGCTGAGTCACCCTGTGTCTTTGCTAGGGCAGGGCCCAGGGGATTGACCCCCTGGAGGTCAGTGCCCTCCTCTTTCTGTTGTGCCCTCACCTCCACCTTAGGAGGTAATTGGCCCCTGAGACTCCTGGATCACTACATTGTCCTGTCCAGGGAACTGTACTTTAGGACAGGGGTGAAAGAAGGAGAGGATTCAGCTTGACCCTTGAGAAATATTTTGAGGTGCTTTGGGACAGGAGCAGGGAGTCCTCCTGGTACCACATCAGTAAGTGCTTCCTCTGATTGTGTATCTACTCACCAACCCAGAGCAGGGAGCCTCCTCTGCCTTCCCAGAACTGACTCTCCTGACCCTCTCTTAGGAATTTTTTTTTTTTACTATCAAAAACTTCACACAAACCTCAACAGAATCCCTAATGCAGTTCCCTTCTGCCTCACCTCCAACCTGGTGTCATAATCTCTCTGAGCCTCAGTTTCCTTATCTGTAACATTGGAATAAAGGTAGCATTTACCTTATCAGAGTAATTGTAAGGTTTAAATGAGATGTGGTTCCTGCAGCACCTGGTATACCATAAATGCTCAGTAGACATTAGCTACTGTTGCTGTGATTTTTACTATTTCATCAGTCATGGAACCAAATCTAAGGAGCACTTAGAATATGTGAGGCGCTGTGCTGGGAACCTAGAGGTACTAAGTTTGGCCTCAAATAAGTTTAAATTTGTTTGAAAGAGAAATTACCAATCAATAAGATAGTTCACAAGCACATAATTTGGCAGAGTTTTTCAAGATCTGTCAAAACGCTCGGAAATTTCATTCAGCAACTCTGCCTCTTATATCCAGCCTCCTCCTCATTTGCTGCATCTTCGGGGGCGGTCTGGCTGCATAAGCCTGTCATCAGGTTGTGGGCTGGGAAACCCACATGCACCTCATGCACTGTCCAGCTGGTCCACCCTTCCACACACCAAGGTAACAGCATCAACATAATCAAGGCCTCAGCCCTGACTCTTCCATCTCCAGGGGGACAGAGCCACAGTTCCAGCCAGGTTCTCGGGGAGAGGGGGTTGCTGACCAGTGGTATTGCAGGGAAGATCAAGAATTTTGTCTCTACCACCACCCTAGAAGTTTCCTTAGGAGAAAGTTAGGATGAGGGCCGGCTGGGGGCAAGGGGTGGCCAAAGGCATTTGTAGGAGGAAGAAAGGAGGGGCCACACCTAAGGACAGGGAGGAGTCAGAAGCCAGGGAACTCAGCCAGCAAGGGGATCAAATTCCTCTGGGGTGAACTCTGAGATAGGAACTTGTGGGCACGGGAGGCCTGAGGAGAGAGAGAGCCAGAGGGGAAGACTCAGCCACTCCACCTACCCACAGCCCAGTCCTACAGGCAGCACAGCCGGCAGGAGCCGCCTCCCTCAGGGCCCCCGAACTGCCTGCCCCTCCTTGACTCTCAGTGCCTGCCGGGAAAGCCGGAGAGGAAAGGAAGACGATGGAGCCAGGCAGGACTCAGATAAAGCTTGACCCCAGGTAAGTGCGGGTGGCAGGCCCTGAGCCAGGAGGCAATTGCTAAGCAGCAGGGGGCCCTATCACCCTGGCCTGTCCCTCCCTCCCATCCTCTCTCCCAGGGTCCTTTGGATCCCAGCACACAGAATGAGACAAGACTAATAATAGTCAGGCCATCCCAGGAGTTCCTCAGGGATACTGGGGTTGGGCCAGTGTATGACCCCTCAGAGCCTTAGCTTTAGCCCCCAACCAGGGAGAGAAAGAGCCCAGAGATGAGGGAGATGGGAGGCATGCACAGAGCCCTGATCAGGTGGGGACCTGTTCCTGGTACTAAGGGTCTACTATTTCCCTGGGACCGGCTCTTTCTCCCTAGCCAGTCCCTGCCTGGGCTGCTGCCCCAGTGAAGCTCTTTGAGCACTGAAGCCAGACCTGCCCATGGCCTAGGTGGCAGCCTACCATTCACACCAGCCTGGGCCAATTTTCCATTCCCTCTAAGAATCAGGGTCTTGAGGGGAAATGGACAAGCTCCCTGAACCCAGGAGTGTTTGAGGGAGTATCGAGCTACTGGTGTCCCTTCTACTACCCTCCCCACTCCCCAAGCCCCCTGACTGTAGGCTGGTGTCTCTCCAGGTACACGGCAGATCTTCTGGAGATACTGAAAACCAACTACAGTGTTCCCGCCGCCTGCTTCTCTTACCCTCCCACTGCAGCCCAACTTCTGAGAGGTGAGTCAGGGACCCTCCCCAGAGGGACCTGAAATCAGAGAGAAAAATGAGCATCCCAGCAGGAGTCAGGGCAGCTGAGAGGAGCTAAGGAGAGGTAGTCCTGAACTGGCTGGCCTGGAGGGTCTGGGAGGAAGTGTGTCTAGTGTCTGTCTATCATGGTAAAAACCTGGGAGAAGATCAACTCTTTGAGGAGCCAAAAGGCCAAAAGAGGGGTGTGACCACCTGGCCCAGAGACAAATCTGCAGGTTGGGCCTCCCCAGTTCAAACTGAGGACACTAACCTGGAGCATTTTTCAGACCTCAGGGCCACACGGGGACTCAGGTTGTTGCCCAAATGATCCCAGCCCCATAGAATCCCCTTGAGGCCTGCACAACAGCCTCCTTGAGAGAGAGTCTATATCATTTTAGAGAGGTGGTTATTATGAATAATGTTCTTAAAACTTAGGTGAACCTATAAAAGTATTGTGACAGTGTTGGCCTACTAGATCCTATTACTGAGTTGCTTTTAAAAGTGAAAGGCAGAAGAAGGGACTCTGTTTATTCCCTGAACATCGAAAAAATGACAATCAAATAACCTAGCATCTTGATAGCAAATGTGGCTCACATTCAAATTTAATTTTGTTATCCTACTGCATGACCAACTACCTCTTGGACATGATGTATAGGTGTCTATATCTCTTTGGCATCCCTAACGCCTTCCCAGGCTCCTTCTTGATGTTGTCACCTTAAGAAGTAGACTTACTGAACAGCAGGATGTGATCAGTGTCACTAGGAGGCAGACACGGGCAGAGCCTCAGACAGTGCTTAGCCTCGTTTCAGATGCTGTGAACCAGAGTGAATACGAACTGCCAGAGGGTGTCCAGAGAAGCCTTGTGGCTGCTCTGTGGCTCATGCCAGTAGGCAGATGCTACATCCACCTCCAGGAACCTCTTGTTTAAAGGGTGCGGCTGATGGTACAAGTCTTCCCTCATCCCAGCATTTTCAATCAGTCAATATTGTCTCGCAGAAGACTTCTGACAACATCTGGAGGCAGTTTCATTTGTTACCATGAGAGGGTGCTACTGCTGTCTAGTGGGTAGAGGTCAGGGATGTTGCCCTGGAAACAAAGGAAAGTCCCCACAAGAAAAAATTATCTGGGCCAAAGTGTCATTAATGCTGAGATTGAGAAACCCTGCCTTACACAGTTAAAATGGATCTCCTATGGCTTTGCTACAAAATGTGCAAATAGAAGCACTCAGGATGTTCAAAGCAGGGAGAACATTCTGGGTTCTGGGTGTGGTGGTCTGGCGTACTGCTTTGTTCCCAGGTTGGAGTGGGTAGCAGTTGGAGAGTGAAGACCGGGCACTGCTGGAGTTGGAGTGGAGACATAATGAGTAGGCAGTTTCTCCAGACACTGAGGAGCTGGATCTCACAAGATTCAAAGTTACTGGTGGGGAAGCTGGGGACAATTGAGAGGGCTGGGCAGGTAAGGTGGAGCCTGCTGAGTGTCAGGCAGAGGAGTTGTACTTTATCCTGCAGGCAGAGGAGTGGATGAGGGCTCTGAGATTGGGAGGGGCTGGATAGTGCTTAAGGACCATTATTAATCAGTAATCAAGATGGACTTTGAGGAAGATTTTCGAGAAGCCAAGATGTAAATTGGAGGTTATTGCCCTAGGAAGCATGAGGGACAAGAGTCTGAGCCAGAGCAGTGTCAGGGGAAAAAAGACAAGTTTAGAAAATATAGGCAATCTGGTAAATATCTTGACAAGATAAATGAAGGAAATAAGAGACTGTAATGATGACTCAGAATCTGGACAGCGTTGACGAGGCTGACAGAAATAGGAAAGTCAGGAAGAGGTGCCCATTGGAGGGTGTGTCTTCCTCCTTTATTTATAAACTCTGTTGTTCCTCAAACTAAATGCCATTTAAGAAAAAGCTGTTCTGGATGAATTATTGAATCCTTCAATAATCTGTTTTTGAAATGCCTGTGATATGATTGCAATTGTAATCCTTATAGGATTTTTTTTTTACTGGACTGATCCAAACATTTATATGGAGGAGTAAAGGTCCAAGAAAGCCAAGACAATCTTGAAAAGTGCAAGGAGGGTGCATGCCCTCCCAGAGATTAAGGCTTATAAGAAGACTAGAGGGGAAGGTATAGCCCAAGTGGCAGAGCGCATGCCTAGCATGCATGAGGTCCTGGGTGCAATCCCCAGCACCTCCTCTAAAAATAAATAAATGAATAAACCTAATTACCTCCCTCCTCAAAAAAAAACAATTAAAAATTTTTTAATTAATAAAAAGAAGACTAGAGTAATTAAAGCAATAGGGTAATAACTGCAAGGGGCCTGACAAGTAGAGAAATGAAATAGAATAGTGGGCTCAGAAATAGACCAGTGTGCCCATTGGGGACTTGCTATATGAAAGGATGCTACACACCTCAGTGGGGCAGGATGGACATTTCAAGAAGTGATGCTGGACAATTGCCTGCCCTTATGGCAAATAAATAAACATAAAAATAGCTCCAACCTAGCTTTAATTCAGGTATATTAAGTACCAAGTATAAAGTGCAAACATTTTTACAAAAGAAAATATGGAAAGATATCTTTATGGTTGGGAGTAGAGAATACTTTCTTAAATAAAACTCAAGAAGGCACAAATGATCATGAAGATTGACTACATAAAGCAAGCAAACTTCTATACAACTGAAAACATTATAAACAATGTTAAAAGCCAAACCAAAGACTGGGAGAAGATAGGTTCAAGCTTTATAACTAACAAGGATGATTAGTCAATATAAGAAAAATTACCCAATAAAAATTAGATAAGATATATGAACAGACAATTCATACTAGAAGGAGAAACCCAAATGGCCAATAAATATACAAAAAGATGATCTATTTTGTTAGGCATTATGAAACCACAAATTAAACAATGAAATATCATTTCACTGTTCTCTTAAAGGCAAAAATTAAAAGTCTGATAGTTTCAAGTGATGGTGAATTTGAGAGGAACTGTGAACCCTTGTAGACTGCTGGTGGGAGTATAAATTAGTATAACCACTTTGAAGAGTAATTAGACACTTTTAACACTGAAGATTCTCATCTCCTACAACCCAGCAATTATAACTCGAGGTGTAAGAATAGAGGAGCTCTCCCATACATGCCAAAGAGACACATCTAAGAGTGTTTATGGTAACATTTGTTTGTCATAATGAAAATAGTAACAACCATGAAAATAAGGTTGAGTAGAAAAGCATTTTGCGAGATAATGCCATTTATATAGATTTTTTTAATGCAAAGCAATATAATATGTTGAGTATGTACATACGTTGTGAAAAATTAAAACATTCAGGAAAAGATACAAACCAACCACAGAATAGTAGTTAGCCCTGGAAGGTGAGGTAGGGAAGGGAAAGGGATCCAGGAGGTATATTTAGGGACCTTCAAATATATCTGTAACACTTTATCTTTCTAAGAATAACTTTTGAAGCAAAATTGGCAGTATCATAACATTCCTTAAAATGGATTATCAGTATATTAATGTTTGCTCTATTATTCTTGATATTTTAAAAATCTTTGTAATTAAAGAAATTATAAAAGTCATTTTTGACAGGCTGTGATGAAATGTTAGATTAAAGAAACCAGAATACTAAATTTTACAGTGTGATTGCAGTAATACAATATGTATGCACTTTAACCAGGATTATTTTTAACATTTTTTATTGATTTATAATCATTTTACAATGTTGTGTCAAACTCCAGTGTAGAGCACAATTTTTCAGTTATACATGAACATATATATATGTTCATTGTCACGTTTTTTTCTCTGTGAGCTACCAACCAGGATGTATTTTAAAGCTACTTTTTATTGGGCAAATACTACATGCCATGCTAAGAGGTTTAACTAGGGGATAAATAACCTGTCCAAGGTTGTAGATCAAGCAGTGAGTAGAATTTTACTTTGAACTCAGAGCCTATGCTCTTAACCTCTATGGAAACAAATATGCAAAAATGAAAATAATTTTTGATTAGGAACTACCTAGGATTATGGGTGACACTGTTTTCAAAATTTTAATATTCCTATATTGTTCTCATTATTAAAAAATAATCTTCACTATTACACAGACAGTGGGAAATTTGCTAGTTGCTAAAGGTATAATTGTATTCAAATGAGTCAGTTAGACAAGCATTTTCCCAAAGTGTGTTCCTTGGAATACTAATCCCAAAGAGCACTCCATGAGAACAGAACCTGTAGAAAAATAACTTTTGTAAACTCCTTTTTGAAATTAACAATATAAATCAGATTTAAAACTTCAGTATATTCTGCAGGAAAGAAACTTGTTTAACTTTGTTTAAAGTGTTTCCCAGAATCTTTGTGCTACAGGATACTTTTTTTCTGTGATGCCTATTAAGATGCAGAAAAATAAGATAGAGAACAGTCTTCCAAGAAGAGAAATGAGTTTAAGGTAGAGTAGTGGTGTCAGACTATGGATGCCAAGGAACTTCTCTCTCTCAGCTTTGCACCGTGGAAGTGGATACAACAGCCTGTAGATACTGCAAACGTGAGAAAGACAGAGCACCAATGCCAGCAGATAAAGTGCAAAAGCACTTCTGTGTTAACAGTTGGAGTTGCCTCACCCCCACCTTCATAAACGTAAGCAATCTTTAGAGTTGCTCTGATTGCTTATGTTGCTCCACATTTCCTCCGGTATCTATGTGAACACATTCCGAGTCAGCTTGAGTGATGGTTAAGAAAATGAGCTTAGGATCAGGAACCTCTGGGTTTAAATTCCAGCTCCATCTCTTCCAGGCTATGTGACCATGGACAAGGTGCTCAACTCTCTAAGACTAGTTTACTGAAAAAGCTTATAAAATGGAGCTAATAGGAATTCCCATGGGATCCTTTCTTTCATTCAACAATCACTCTTACTGTTCAGGCACTTGGAAAAAGGAACAGAGAACAAGCCTGACAAAGTCCCTGCCTTTGTGCTGAGTTTTTTGTGTTTGTTTGTTTTGTTTTGGTGAGTGTTTTTGTTTTTGTTTTTGTTTTTGGTAGGTGGCAGTTTTAATAAGTAGGGAACTTACATGTAAGGTTTGTCTTGGGCAAGGTGATTAGCTCTCCACGCCTGCCAGAATCTTTTTTTTTTAAACACTTTTATTATGGTATGATTCCTTTATGGTAAACTACACATATTTCAGAAGTAAATTTGATAGATGTATACACCAATGAAACCACCACCACAATCAAGATAGCTAACATTTCCCTCACTCCCCAAATTTCGAATTCCCAATTTATCCTTTCCTAATCCCTTTATACTGCGATCACTTCAATGGGGACAGACAATAAACAGTTAAATAAATACATACATAACCTCACTGGAGGGCAGATAAGGGGCGGAGCAATGGCACATTGGGCACTCAGGGGAGGCTGGTTGAGGAGAGGCATTTGAGCAGAGAGCTTAGTGATGAGAAGGAGCCACAGCCACACGAGCTCAGGGAGAAAAGATGAACAGGCAGAAGCCAAGCGCTATAAAATCCTGGAGGTGGAAACAGCTCACGTGGTTGTTGGGATGCTGAGAAGTGGTAGGAAAATCCTAAACTTCAAATAAACAGAGATGAGTCGAGAAGCAGTGACTGAGTTTGGAGAACACTCTGAGTAGGAGAGGTTGAGGAATCAGGCGAGGAGACCTAGGGTCAGAGGCCAGGAGGGGAACCAGAAGGACTGTGGTTCTGCGAGTCAAGGGGAGGGAGGTTTTCAAGGACCAGGGAATTGTCAAGGACAATGAAGATTGGGAAAGGCTTTGGCCTTGATGGCTTTGGGAAGGGCTGTTTCTACCATCAGTTCTCAGTGAGCTGATGAGGACAAGAGTCAAGGAGCGGGTGGGAGAGTGAGGCGAGGAGAGACCTCCTGCAGTGACTGCCCTTTCCGAAAATGGACATTGGATTTTAGAAATCTACTGAATTAATTTTGGTTTCTGCTATTTGGACTTTATCTTTTGTCTGTATTTTTTTAACTAAACATTTTTACTGTAAAAATAATTCAGTAAATATGAAAATACAGAAAAGTGAAAAGAAGGAAAGTCATATATGGTCCCACCACTCAAGACCAGCACTGCAAATATCGTAGTGTAATTTCTGTTTTCTATGCTTTTATTTAACATTAGTGGAAATCATTCTATACTATATTTTATGTCTTGTTTTTACATGCGTGACATCATATGAATTTTTCACATAATTATATATTAGGCAAAATATGTCTTTTAAAAAAACTTTTTGTGTTATAAAATGTATATTACAGAATAATTGTAAAAGAAAGAAGACAAAAACTACTCACAGTCTTATCACCCAAAGACAACATTACTGATTTTTTTAGCATTTCTAAGCATTTTTTCTTTTTTTTTTCTTAACTCTTTTCTGGAGGGGGGTGCGGCAATTGGGCTTATTTATTTATGTTTAGAGGAGGTACTGGGGATTGAACCCAGGACCTTGTGCATGCTAATCACGTGCTGTACCACTTGAGCTATACCCTCCCCCTAGGCATATTTTCCATGCAATGATTTTTTTAATCAAAATAATATATGAACATGATTAAAAATGTAAATAGCACAAAGGGGCTACTAATGAAAACCAACAATCCCCTGCCCTATTTATTCTTATTTCTAATCTCCCTCCTCCTTTTTGAGCTGATGATTCTCCTGATAGTTGCCTTCAAACTACCATTATTTCCTGGGATATTAATTTTGGACATTATCTGTGGCCACCTCTATAATACATGAAGATTTAGTTCATTTAGTGCCAACCTCTTCCATTTTTTCTATATAATTATGTCAATATTTTAGTTGGCTATCTTTATAGCTATATATACTATACCTATGGTTTATTTCTTATCGTGCCAACTATGGACAGTACTTCTTCACTTTCCATTTTGTAAGATAAAGATATTGGTGCCTCACTCTTCCTTTCAACTCTTTTCTACCTTTTTCTACCCAATCAAATCCTTTAAACATGATTATAATTTTACTGTGCTAATTTTGATTCTGCTTTGTTTATGTAAATGTGTGTTTGATGTTTGTTTTAGGTATAAATTACATACTATAGGGCAATGATTCTAAGTATATAATTTGGTGGATTTTTACCTACATGTACATCTATGAAACCACCATCCAGCCCAAGATATAGAATATTTCCAGCATCCAGCAGGGTCTCTCATACTCCCCCTAGTTAATACTCCTCCAAAGACCACTATCCTAACCTCTAACACCTCTTCAATTGATGTAAACAAAATCAAATCAAACAGTAATTCCATTACGGGGATATATCAAAATTTCTTAATCTGTATTCTTGTTGAAGAACATAATGGGCTATTTCCCATTTGAGCCATTACGAACTATGCTGCTCTGAACATTCTTTTGGTGATTCTAGGCACTCATTCCTATTGAATATGTTTCCAGGAGTGCAGTTTCTGTGTCACAGGGTAGGTGAGCTTTAATGGATACTAACAAACTGTTTTCCAAAGTACTAGTACCACTCCCAACAGCAACGTATGAGAGTTCCAATTGTTTCTCATCCTCACCAGCACTTAGAATCATTATTCCTTTTAACTTCAGCCCTTCTGGTGGGTATATAGTGGCATCTCACATTTTTATTTCCCTGATGACTGTTGATATTTAGCACCTTTTTATGCTTCTTGAACATTTGAATTGAACTTTGAAAAATTACTATTTAGATCTTTTTTTATTTGTAAAAATTGTGTTCTTTTCCTTACTGATAGGAGGATTCTTTATATATTATGAATATGTCTTTTGTTGGATATTTGTATAGCAAATATCCTCTCTCAATACACATTTATTTAAAATGCTTCCCCCAGTCTGCTTGCTGCCTTTTTTTTTTTCAAACACTCATGAATTTAAACTTTTTGTATCAGATTTGACCATTGTTCTCTTTGTGATTTCCTGGATTGCACCTAAGCTTAGGAAGATCTTCCCTCTGCAAAGTTTTGATGAAAGTACACTTCTCTGTTTTTCTCTTCTTTCAGTTTTCCCTGTTTGACTTTTAAAGGCTTATCTCTTTAATCTATCTGGAATTATTTTGATATGTGGCAGGCTTTATGTGTATCTCACGATAAAACAATCATGATTTTTAAAAATCTACATTTTTATTGCATAAGGGTAAAATTTTGTGAAAAAAATTCTCCGTGATTTTTATATTTTTAAAGCTTCAAAGAGGAAAAGGTAAAGTCTCTTTTTAATAAAGGACTACAACCAGTCTTCTTAATGTTTAAAACCTGCAGAGCCTACTGGAACAGTATCTAGAGAGGTAATTAAGAAAGAGGCAACAGAGCCACACAGCAAGAGCAACGCCAAGCCAGTAATTTAGTCACCCAGAGGGCGAGGGCTGTGACCTAACTAAATGGAGGGGAGTGGAGGAAGGGATGGGGAGGAGGGAAGAAAATAGCACAGCCCAGTCTTTTGTAGCCAGTGATAGGAAAAGCTTACCACTGACTTCAGAAGTGCAGCTTGGGAGCTGGAATCCAAGGACCACCTTCCCCGTGGCAGGTCCTCCGGAGTCGTCACAGACCTAACTCTGGTCAGAGGTAAAGGGCCTCTTGGATAAAGCAAACAGAAACAGAGAAAAACATGTGCTCTGAAATAAGAACAACCAGAGTCAACATGACATTTTTTGATAAATTCACCTTTGTCCTGGTTGCTCCTTGTGGTGCCGTCAGGTGTGACTGATCCAGCTGACAATGACTTAAGTCTTTACTGTGGCATGGTCGCCTTCCTCCCTGCCTTGGTGTCAGCAGTAATATCTCTGCCTGAGCTGCCCTCAGTCACCAAGACATAGGGCAGGCCAGCCAATACCTTTCTCATAATGTCCTCCCAATGCAATAAGACAACGGACTGGACTCTGACAGTCTTCCCCAACTTCTTCCTGTCATCTAGCCAGTTAGGAGGTGGAAAGGAGTTTGCCAACCAGGGAAGAGACTTAGATAAACGAAGGTCTGGGCTTGTTGGCAGACTCCTCCTGTCACTGAGGACACTGAACCCTTTGTATAAAACTAATTGTTGCATTGATGAATCACATGTCCAGCAACAAATACTATGATTATATTAATGTTCTCCTGTTAGCAATTGTGAGGCCAGAGTAGCTTCACTGGTGTTTGTTAAAATGTTTATCTTCTGGCTATTGCCATTGTTGGGTGAGGTGGTTTAAAATGTAGATTACTGGTTCCATCCCAGATCTATTGAAATAGCATCCCTGACGGCAAGGCCTGGGCAGCTAGTTTTTAACAGCTCCTCAAATAACTTGAATAAACACTAAAGAGAGCTACTCAACCACATTTGGTATAAGACTAAGTGTGAAGCCAACATGGGTCAAATGTCCTTGGAGACTTTACTTGTACCCATTTGTTAAAGTCCCTTCCTAATGTCCCAGTTTTGTGACATAATTTTTGAAATAAAACTTAAACAGCTCTAAGTAAAGCATGAATTATATTCTGCTTCAATTATGTTTATTGGTCCCCGTCTGCTAGCATGACACCTGATAATGAGATAGAAAAGTGAGTAGGCCCTGTTGACCTCCTAATTCAGAATTTTTGCTGATATTTGCTAATTTGCAATATAAACTGGTTTGGTGTCAATACCCCAGTTCAGGTAAGCCTTACTGTACCTGTAGTTATTTGGTCTAGTCTCCCATCTCCGCAGAAGAATGACTATTTCTTAGTCACATGTTGGATCTGTAGGTCTAAGAAAAAGCCCATCTTTTGCATGGAAGGGAACCTAGACCAGGTAATTCTAGATATGGTAAAGCAATTTAGATTCAAGTGAGGAAGCCTACATCTTCTGCTCCTCAGTTGTGGTCTTTACCTCACTGAAGTCTGCCTTCTCTTTCCACTCTAGCATTGGGTCCTGTGGAGATTTCCCTCACGGTCATCATGACCTTGCTTGTCCTGGGCTCAATCGCCATCTTCCTGGAGGATGCTGTCTACATACACAGGAACACTCGCTGCCCCATCAAGAGGAAGACTCTTCTCTGGATGAGCTCTGCACCCACGGTGAGGGTCTGGTAGCTGCTCTTTGAGAGGGACCAGAGAGGAACTAGGGTCCATTTTGAGGATTCCTTTAAACTCAATAATTCAAGTCAGCAATGAGATGCCTTCCTCTACCACCTTAGGGTGGGGGTTTTAATCTGATTTCTGTTTGCAGTCAGGACCCCTTGCTTGGAAGGTCAACAGACAGTGGGATGGAGTATTCAAAACTTTAGAGCCACCGAGACAGCTAGAGAAACTGCTCAGCCCACCAGCAGCCCCACTCACTACTCCCTCACTATGATACTGCTGTTAAAAGCAAGCCTCCTTCCTGTACAGACAGAGCAGTGGTTCCTCAGCAGGTAGTAGGAGAAGAATTTTCCCCCATGGGGTCATGCTTACCCTACCCTTATATTGTAGGTCCTTTTAACTCCCCCACAGCCATTGGATAGCTCTTTGGCTTGCTCTCAGGCCATAAGGTAGGACTTCTCTTTCCTTGTGGTGAGCTCTGTGTCTGTGTAGGGTGAAGAACAAAGTCCTTGAGGCTCTTTCCTGCCAGATAACATCTGCCTGGGCCATCTCAAGTCATCAGGGATGCTCTAATAACATGGGATGTTGAAAAGGAAGGGTTGGATCTTGATCCACTTACTTCTAAAGACAAACTAACCTCCTATCCCACCAATATAGGTTGAGAGAGTCTTCAAAAGAGCCCCTGGCAAAGTTTGACAGCTGTATTTTTTAAAAAGTTTTAATTAGTTATTTTTTTCAGCTGGCCACCTTTAAGTAATGGTGCCTCAAATGTTTACGTTTCGCTTCCTTAAGTCCTTGAAGCAAAAGGTGAGCATGAAGTCTCCCTCGTTGTCCTAACCTGCTCTTTGCTCCTCTCCAAGCAGACAGTGTCTGCATTCTGCTGCTTTGGTCTCTGGATCCCTCGTGCCCTCACACTTGTGGAAATGACCATAGCCGCGTGAGTGTCCTGCCCCACCCCCAGCTCTGGGCTGTATATCCTTCTGGGGTCCTCTCTCTGCCCCCTTCTCTCCCAGACTCCAGAGTCCATGTCTTCTTTTATCCCCTGTCCCTTCCATAAATCCCTGCAAACCAGCTGATCACAAATCTAGCACTTTCCAACTTGTGCTAATCCAGGTCTCTTGAACTTCTAGTTCATCCTCAGGCACCACTTTGCTCCCATAGCCCAAAATTGCCCTCTTCCCACCCTGTCCTCTCTCTCATTCCTCTTGGGTCACACATTTAGAACAGCCAGTCCCTACTGTGATCCCTTCAGGAAGCCCCACCTCTCCCTGCCTCCTTTGCAGTCTATTTTCCTTTGGCAGCACAGGGTATCCCCTCAGCTGCTGCCACCTCCCCTTCTGTGTACTCAGGCCCACCTCTCTCCTCACTCTAGGTTTTACTCAGTGTACTTTTACCTGCTGATGCACGTCATGGTGGAAGGCTTTGGTGGGAAGGAGGCAGTAATGAGGACACTGAAGGACACCCCAGTGAGGATCCATACAGGCCCCTGCTGCTGCTGCTGCCCCTGCTGCCCCAAAATCATGCTCACCAGGTAAGTTGGGAGGGAGAAGCAGCGGGAGGAACAGGTCAGCCTCTGCCTACACTCTCTCTGGAGACTTGTTGGCTCTCACAGCCCTGCTTCAAGTCTCTTGGAACAAGGCTTGTATGGAACAAAACCAGTGATGAGAGGGTGGGCATCCCACAGCCCGCGCCCTCGCACTGGGCGCCCACCCAGAGGTGAGAGGAGCAGAGGAAGGAGAACTCCGAAGTTCCCGTCACTTAAGCTCACCGCCCCCTACAAACTACCACCCAGAGCAAACTAGACTTTGGGCTATTTACTTTCCCTTTTTTGTCCATTTTGGGTTGTAAAGTTGGGGTCAACACTCAGTTCTTGCTCAAAAGGCAGCATTCCAGTCTGACGGTGAGTGGGAGGCAAGAGGGAAGGTTCCCAAGGCTGTCAACATTCTGGCTTTTTCCTGAGTCCACATCCGTTTAACCGTTGGGTGACTGTGACGGCAGCTACGCTTCAGCCCAGGAGCCCAGTGAGGGAGCAGGAAGGGCTTCTTGGGGCGGGTAGTTTGTTCACCCATGTTCCTAACCCTCTTCCCTCCTCAGCAAGAAGCTTCAGCTCCTGATGTTCGGCCCCGTCCAGTATGCCTTCCTCAAGATAACACTGAGCCTAGTGGGCCTGTTTCTCGTCCCTGATGGCATCTATGACCCATCAGACGTAAGCAAGGACTGAGGGGCAGCAAAGCCCAAGATTCATTTAATACCTTTGAGCTCTAGAAGGAAGAGTTGGGGCCAATATCACCTGATACAGGGCCCCAGGGGTGGGGTAGCCCCAGGGACAGGGTGACTGTGGAAAAGTAGAGGCTCGCGGACTCCAGTGGGAAGAGAGGGGGTGGGGAGAGGCCAAGGCTTTGGGCTTTTTTACTTTCCCCACCATGGGAGAGGGGAAATAAAGGGAGGAGAAAGGGCCTGCCTCCCTCGCTGACTACTTCCTGGTCTGCCACCAGATTTCTGAGAGGAGCACAGCTCTGTGGATCAACACTTTCCTCGGTGTGTCCACTCTGCTGGCTCTGTGGGCCCTGGGCATCGTTTTCCGTCAAGCCAGGCTGCACCTGGGCGAGCAGAACATGGGAGCCAAATTCTATCTCTTCCAGGTAACCATACCCCGGGAGAGAAAGATGGCTAATAATCAGCCACAAATAATTGGGGTTCAGAGCCGAGACTATTAAAGGCTAAAAGTGGGTCTGGGAAGCTTCTTAAGCCTTAGGTTTCCTGTGAGATTTGGAAAATAATCCCTGCCCTTCCCCAGTTTTGCTTTTCTGTGCTGTAATAGTCTCCTGGGACTGGTGTAACAAAACATCACAAATTGGGTGGCTTAAAACAACAGAAATTTATTGTCTCACAGTTCTAAAGGCTAGATGTCCAAAATCAAGCTTTCAGCCGACCCACACTCCCTCTGAAACCTGTCAGGGAGAATCCTTCCTTGATCTTCCTGACTCCTGTGGTTTGCAGCAACCCTTGGCATCCTTGGCTCACAGTGGCATCACTCCAATTTCTGCCTCCAACATCACATGGCATTTCGCCCTCATGTGTCTGTGTCTTACGTCTCTTTTCCTCTTCTTATAATGACACCAGTCATATTGGAATAAGGACCCACCCTACTCCTACTAACCTCATCTTAACCTAATTACAACTAATTAGTTAACCAAAACAATGATGCTATTTCCAAACAAGGTCACATTCTGAGCTACTGGGAGTTAGGCTTCAACATATCTTTTCTGGGGACACAATGAAACCCATAACACATGTGATTATCCAACCTTAAATTCTTATGTCTTTGCTTTTTTCTTCTTCTCTACCCATTACTTCTAAAAACCCTATAGTTTGTCACCACCAGCAATATCAACATTATCACAGCTACAACTATGAACTACCTGTACCACATAGACATTTTTCATACATAAATTACATTTAAATGTTCACTACAATCTTAAAGAGTCATTACTATTTCTTTTTGACCAGTGAGGAAACAGATGTTATGGGGCTTGCTCAAAGGCACATAAGGCTTGGGACTGGAATTTAAACCTAGATCTGTCTACTCCTAAACCCACATCCCTTCTTCTCATCACATTGCCTCTTCATCTTCACATCTTTTCTGAAAATTCTCTCAAAGGCAAATGCAATGACTTCTAGCCCAATATTGTTTTCCTTCTCTCTCCATTATTTCTTCTCCTTGTTGGGCCCTTCTCCTACTCCCAAGGCACAATGACTCCTGTAGAGCTAACAGGGTGATTTCACATACATTCTCATTTGATCTAAGCAAGTGCCACTGGAATGTGAATTTACAGGCACATAGAAGGTAGAATCAGAGGGTCTTTAGGAAGACAGAAGAGCCTGAAATGGAGTAAGAGACTGAAGGGACACAGAAAGGACCTGGGCCCCTTAGGGTCAGGCCATAGGATAAAACCCCTTGATGGCCGAGCCTGCCCATGAATATTATGGGGAAGCCTGGATGAGCCAAGTCTGCCCAGAAGAGGCTGTGCTTTAGAAAAGTGTACTCAAGAGAGGGCAAGTACCAGGACACATTTCAAACACAGCAGTGGGCCAGCTGTCCTCAGCACCATGGATGCTGGGCCCCCTGCCCTCACTTTTCTTTTCTGTTCTGCAGGCGCTCCTTATTCTGTCTGCCGTGCAGCCAGCCATTTTCTCAGTCTTGGCCAACGGTGGGCAGATTGCTTGTTCGCCGCCCTTTTCCTCTAAAATCAGGTCTCAAGGTGAGCACATAGGGGCGCCTATCCCAGGCCAGGATGGACAAGACGGGGAGGTCAGGGAAGAGAGGACCTTAGAACAGAAGGTGGGCCAGCCAGCCTCAGAAAACTCAGAATATTCTGCTCAAAAAGGAACCTCCAAGAAATCTAGCTGAGGCTCTACTAAGGAGACTGTGACTTCTGTGATCACACAGAGGACAGCTGCAAGCCCACAGCTTCAGGCCAGTCCTGATGGCCAACCCAGGAAGCCATGAGTTCAGTCCTCAGCTCCTGGAAGAGGAATGGGTCTGGTGAGGAAGCAGAAGGTCTTGCTGATAAAATATACAAAAGAAATGGAGTTTAATGCTGGCCTCAAACTGCAGAACCAACTTCTGGTTCTGGCTTTACTATTAACCTGCTATATTACTTCTGACAACTTAATATCTCTAGGTCCTGGTTTGAGAAGAAATTAGATAAAGTGTTGTTCAACTTATACGCCAGGGCTGCTAGTGGGATTCTGCATCTGTAAGTTAGCATAACCAACATTATATTTCGCCCCACGCTGCAGTGATGAACTGCCATCTCCTCATCCTGGAGTCCTTTCTGATAACTGTGCTGATACGAATGTACTACCGAAGGAAAGACAGCAAGGTTGGGTATGAACCTTTCTCTTCTCCAGATCTGGATTCAAACGTCAAAGCCTGAGGTGGATGACTTGGACAATCAAAGAGACACTGTACTCATTAGATGGGCACAAGATTTCTTTACTGACCCCCAACCTTGACCAAATGGGGGTGGTTTCCATTGTCAGCACAAGCTGGCAGATCATGTACACTTGACTATAGAGACAAATGTGAACTATGCGATAGGATGAAATTGTTTTGGATCTGGCCTGAGGAAGGTATTTTAAGTTTTATAATAAACAGGATGGAGTTTGATATTCTATAACGGGGCACAGTGCCTTTGTGGGTGCCACTGTCAGCCCTTAAAGCTTGTATATTAAAAGGTCACTCTCAATCTTTCCAAACCAAATAAAAGAGTGAAGAGTATATCATAGTTTTCCTAGTATAATAACAGGAACAGAACTCAGCCAAGCCAAGCAGTATGAACCCAAAGTCTCAAAGAAACATAGACTTCTGAAGAGCAGATGGATAGTGTTCCTTCTCTTACAGATATGTCATTAGGGCACTGATAACATTAGACGTGGGAGATCTGGACCAGCCTCCTTTTGTGGGACAGTGGCTTTCTGAGTCTTCGGTACCAAGCTACAAAAAGAACCCCTGAAAATATGGTCATCAAGGAATTTTGAGAAGATAAATTAGGATGCAAAAGCAAAGGAACTGATAGTACAGGTAAAACCCCAAATACATAAAACATAACATACACACATATACCAGGTCAAAAACATAGAAAATGGAACATTAGGTAAAATCACTTTATCTTTATTTGGCTGATGACAAAAGCCAAAATAACTGAACAAATTAATAACACTCAGACAAGAAAACAATATACTGAACACCGATTGAGGAAAACGTCCTTGTGGACACCAGCACTGGCGATGGGGCCAACATTCACGCCAAGGGCAGCATTTCTTTCCAACACTCTTTTCAGGATCCTCAATACAAAACAACCCCAACCAATCAAGTCTCTGTTCAAAACAGTCAGTGCCCCCCTAAGAAGGGTGGGAAAGCCCACTTGAAACCTGAAAAAACATAACTGGAGTCATCCTAATGTTAAACAAAGCACTTTTGTTTTCTACCCCAATCTGAGTACTAACATTACGCTTTGGCAGACAGAATATCTTTCTCCTTTCTTTTAAAGAAAATTAACTTTTAATAGTATAATCCCAAGAACATATTTTACTGTGTGGAAAAATAAAAGCTAGGGACCACTCTTTATCCCATGACAACCTATTCTATGAGAGAAAACAAGAACAATCGTTGCATGACTTTGAAAAATATAACTTTAAAAATACTTACATTGGTAAGCTTAAAAAAAATACCATTAGATAAAAACATTGTTAAGGGAGCTTTTTTTCCTACCTGTACTGGTTCAACTTCTGATGAAAGTGTGTGCTGGCAGATAATGCAGAAGCTATGGCTTTTAGGGAATTAAACAAAAGCTGAAAACTATAATTGATTTGGAAAGATTTCAGATAAAGGGTCTGAAACAAGATTAACAAAGCAATGAGCTCCAGAAACACAAAAGCTACCGACAAATAAGAAAGAGACTAAAAAGCACTGTGAAGAACCATTGCAGAGGGAATCTCCAAAGACTGCCTGGACAGCTGTGTGGTCACAAGTGAGAAAAATGTACCTCAGATGCTGCCTAAGAAGTTATCAGTGATGAGAAAAGGTCAAAAGTTCTCTTGACTTCCCTCAAATTTTTTCCTCCATTCAAGATTTTCAACCTCCTCACACCCCCAACCTTCTTACCCAAGCCTCGGCAGAATAATGGCCTTTGGCTCTAGCTATCAGAAGCAGCTGTGGCGGTACAAATGATCCATTTCTATTCCTCTAAAGTTTCAACCTCTATCCTTCAGTGTTACTGAGTCTAGTGTATGAAAAGAGCAAAGTCTCTGCCCAGCCCATCTCAAGGTAACTGCTGAAACGGCACCTCCTCAGCACCAGCTACAGGGCTTCTGTCTCCACTCTCCTTCTGTCTTGCACACAGAGGCTCCAAGGCCAACCAACTTTTAAGGCTCTCCCATTTCTGCCACATTTGGCCTATTCAGGCTGGCTGCTTTGTGTGTGGGACTCAGGGAAACAGCTAATTAATTTTAAAATTAGTATTAGAGGGCAATATTAACAATAATATTTAAAGATTTACAGATCACATACACAGCTGTGGAATTCGAACCTCGAACCTTATTTAATTAGGCACAAGTGATCAAATAATGCATTATCCCAACAGCTTTCTCCACAAACGCCCCCCCATCCAACACCTAGGGTCACATTTATCCCAAAGTATCTAGCATGCCACATCATAACATTTCTTGCTTTCAGTCAAAATTATATGAAGATAAACCAATGTTAGAAGACTAAGGCCACAGAGGCTCACCCAAAGGAGTGAGAGAGTTTTCCAAGAACATGTGCATATGCTGGCGGCAGCAGTCTCACAGAGCTTGTCAGCCCAGAGGTCATATTCCAAGGGCAGGACATGCCAAAAGCAGCCCATCACAGAGTAGAGGAGGAGGGCCAAACACCTGGGACCCAGACAGTATACATGAGAGGAGTGACTGCAGGGAGAAAAACCACATTCTGGGCACCTCCCTTTCCAAATACACTTGGAGAGCATGTGTTATTTGAGGGAGCAGGTAGTGTGACTTCAGTGGTGACTTCACTGCTTTTCTATCAACAGAAGTGGGCAGAATTCCCAAAGAGGGAAGACTGAAGTAGAAAAGTCAAAACATTTGATCACATGAAGCTGGGTAACGTAGGAAAACATTAACTTTAACTGTTCCCCAAATAGGATTCCAAGCCAAAACTTGTGTAAACCAGATTTGATAATAAAAATAGCACTTCAAGCGAAGAGTTAGAAATGAGTTTTCATAGGCCATCAGGACAACAAGAGGTTTCCCCCTCTTTGTCCCTCTGCTCTGCCTCTCTGGGTAATCTGAGTTTTAAGAATCTAGGTAGTCCCTGCTGTGCAGGCAGGCAGTGATTCTAGTCACTGACCCTCAGGCAGAACAGGTTTTACCAGAAAATGTTTAGGGAGGGGACTATGAGATGCTCACAGCCCTAGCAGAGGGGCAAGAAAAGATAAAATGTGGTTTTCTTAGCTGAAAACACTAAAACTCCACCCCCACAAGGGGTATTTATGAGTGATGGGGTGGGGCCTCGACATAAGCATTTTTTACCCTGAACCCAATGACAGGATTACTGATGGATGATGATCTGCTAGGTCACATACTGTAGGATGCTAGAGGTTTAAAAGGAGCTCATGCTCAACAGCAAGTGATAAACTTCAGCATTCTCTGATGTGAAATTTAAAATTTAAGTGGTAGCCTAACACAGGAGGTGGAACCAGGCAGAAGGACAGGTAGGGAACCTACCACACTCTTGTAGTGTGGGCCCTTGCTTGGTGGTTTGCTGAAGGGGCAGTGGGCAGGAGTCCCTGCCAGCTGCAACTCCCAGAGGAAAAGAAACACCTCGTGGAGCACTGGTTCCAGTGAGGACACTCTTAAGAGGGGAAAAGGTCAAGATAAAGCTTTAAAAAGGGATGTGTTTCCTTATGCTTTTGTGCCTATGTTCTTTGCAGATCTCTCTGAATATTCAATATGGCTATTAGTGACATGAATTAACAGATCATGTTCAAACTGCAGACATTTACAAAGTATCCTTTGTAAAAAAAGCTAGGTAATAAGTATGAAAATAGGAGTAACAGGGCCAGGGACTCACTCCCAGGAGGAAAATTGATCTGAACTGACTTTGTATAGGATTGAGTACTGTCCCACTCCCCTCCTCAGTGAGAGTAAGCCTGAAAGTGTTCCTTCCTTTAGGAGGGTAGACTGCAAGAAAGATTGACAAGAGCTCCCAAATAACTGGGCAACAGAATTTTCTGAGAAGATGAACATAGCAGAAGAAAAGCAGCTAATGCCACGTGGTCTGGTTCCAGCCCCATCAGTGTCTTCATGGACCCCATTGGGTTCAACAAGAAACTCCTCAGGGAGTAAGAAAAGTTAGGCTCAGATCTCCTTCCTCCCACAGCCACAATGACACATGTGCCAGTAGTACACTTAGGGGATTTGTGACTGTTACTCAGCTTAGTTTTTTTAAAAAAGGAAACCAAAATTATGGTGTCTCCCTCCAAATCACCCAACAGCATGGCTCACTGCTTGAAGGACTTGGCAAGACAGTTTGCCTCAGAATGGAAGGCAAACCCTATAGTGTATCAGGAAGAAAAGGCCTCTCGTTACTATACCACTTCCTTCTGCCCGCTCCTTGGGGGCAAAAAATTAGTTCTACTTACTACATTTGAAAGACTAATTTTTAAAAAATTAATAAAAATAACAAAAACTTCCCTGTCAAGATCACATGAACATAAACAGTAAAGCAAAGTCCACGGGGAGGGTATATGAATGCAGAACAGGCTTCTAAGGTGTAGTCAGCCTCCTTGGCGTGGTTGGGTGATGTCTCTTGGAGGATAGGCTGTCTGGTCCCCCCATCCTAGGTCCTCTTACCCCAGTTGTCTTTCCTTTGTAGCTGTCCTTAAGTTTAGTGTTGGGGTCACAATTTGGAATTCAACAGAGAGCTTCTGAAGGTGATGGGACAGAGAGAGGGGAGAGGAAAGGAGAGATGAAAAATTAGTCGTCCTCTTCATCCTCACTGATATCGTAGGCTGCAGCCTTGTGCCTGGAGAGGTTTGCTGGGGAGGAAAGCGGGGAAGTCTTGCCAGAGAAGGGCCACCGGAAAGAGGGAGAGGGGGAGCGTTCACGAGTGGGGCTGCTGCTGGGACTCTGCTTTGGACTGATGGCCTGCAGCATCCGGCCTTTCCCCTCTTTCAGCATATGTTTCTGGGGAGACCAAAAGGAAGAGTTAGAAGAAACCTATGGATCCTACTAAAGCACTAATGGAGGATCAGAGACTTCAAATTATCATGAGTGCCCTCTGCAATGTCAAAAGTGATCAAGTAAGCCAGACGAGGAACACAGCCACAGTTCTAAGCAACTGCCTCCCCAAAGTGGTCTATGTTATACTCTGTATCTAAGGGCTCCCAGAACCTGCTATCCACAGTCACCCAATTCTTGACTGCTAAGTCAAAGGAATTCTTCAAAGGCTACTTGATCTGTAGTCCAGGCTTCAGGCAAAAATAAAGGCATTAACTCAGTCAAAAGGGTACCTATCCTAGTTTTAGAGTTCTCTGAAAAGGAAATTCCATATTCTCTCTGAATAATCTATTCTGGTACCCGAACACCCTCACAATCAATTGTTCCTGATATCCTAGGGCTCACTTGCTAACAGCTACACATATACCTTTTATTTGGCTTGAAAGGATTTGCTACTATTCAGGGACAGAATTCCCACCTAACCCAGTGATCCTGCAGCAGCTGTTTGTAGTGGAGGCAGCTTCCTTTTTTCTGTTCTTTGTCCTTCCCTTTTCTTCTAAAACTACAATGTAGAAGCAAGCTAGGCAAGGCTACTCTAGGCAAGGCTACTCACTGATCTTGTCACCTGATTTAGAGGTTGATAGAGAGCTGACAAAATTATTTAGGAGACTGTATAACCTCTTTCTGTAAAGATTTTTAAAAACTTTCTGGAGATAGCTGAAATATAATTCTGCCCAATAAGGGGAACAGATGAGATAATTTCTTAATGTTGATGCCTCTTTCTGCTCAAGGATTCTATAATTCTTTCCACAGCATGAGATTTTCCAAGATTTTCCTGAAATTCCCTAAATTGTCCAGCAGGAAAGAACATACCAGTGCTCCTTCTGGACCAAACATTTCCAGGAAACTTCCAATGAATTCTCGGGATTTCTCCTCCCACTTCTGAATGAGGTCAATGCTTTTTTCTTCCACCTTCTGAACAAATTCTTTTGACTTTTCCTCCACATCTTTCACTTTCTTCTTTACTTTGTCAACCCGCTCCTGCAAGTGGTATTTCTTCTCCTAGGTAAAGAAGTAACTGTTCTGAGAAATGATACTCACTCTGACCTTCCACACCAAGGGGAAGGAAAAGACATAGTTTGGCATTCTTTTGACGTTCCTTTTAGACTTGAGAATTTCACTTTGCTTTAATCTAGCCCACACTTCTCTAGCCTAATAACAGATATGTTCTAGATGGCCATCTTATACAAAACTATAATAATTCTAAGATTGTAGAAGCCCAGGACTAAACTAAATATATAGGGTAAGCCCAGTAACAGACAGGCATATACCAAATGAAATCAGACTTTTTAAGACAAAACATAAACTTGGAAGATAACCATGCCCAACAAAACCCAAACCCCATTCCAAATGGAGATGTATGGGCAGGAAGAAACAAGATCACTGCACAATATTGTCAAGAATAAGCCAACTATAACAGGTTGGAAGTAGAAACAGCAGGTCTTTTACTTAATTCATTTATTGTACTGGATTTCTTCCCTCCATCATTGGCTTATTCTATGATTATAGAGGAGTTTTTTTGTTTTGTTTTGCTTTGCTTTCTGTTTTTTAACATTTGGAGGTTTGTTCATTTGCAAAACGAGGATGATACTCTTTGATCCTACCAGCTTCTCTAAAGATAAGGGGAAATGGTATAAACCCTCTGGAGGGGAGGGGGGAGACCAAAAGGGGAGCCAAATGAAGAGTATTCTCATATTTCCAGATCATAAAAGGGAAAGGGAGTATGTTTAGAATTTTTAAACACCTGAAAATAGATAAAGATTCTGCAATATGTGGTAAACAACAGCTAGGGTTTATCTGCATAGATAAAACACATTTAGATGAAACCATTTCACCTGTACATAATTCACAGAGCTGGGAGCAGGTGAGAGAGCATGGTAAACTACTTGCGTAAAAGATACAATCAGCAGCTTTCTTCTTCTTTCTAAGTCAACTTTATTGAAGTATTATTTATATACAAAATGTATAGCAGTGTGTTTCTAAAGGGCAATATTAAGCCAAGATAAACTTGCTTTCAAAAATCAAAATTTAAAAGTTAGGTCCACGTGCTCTGAGAAACTGCATGCAAAATGTCGTGTGTTACTATTCACACAGGGAGAGGATCCATAGCTTTTATCAGATTTGTAAAGACCATCCAATTAAAAAAAAAGTTAAGAACCACTGTTTTAGATGTATTTGATACAAATACTGTACTACATAAGTTATTCATTCTTATTTATTTAATTGGCTGATCCTTACATCAGTGTGTTGATACTGGACCATAAAGGCAGAAAGTGCCTCTCTTTATGAAATAGATAACATCTATACTCTTTGTAAAGGGCTTGGCACAGTGTTATCTACAAAGAGGTATCCATTCTGCTTTTAGAGGTGATAATTACAGACTGAAAAGCAAGTTTAGCTTCAATGAAGTGAGAGGTAATATGTGTCCCATAGGGCCAAAGAACTCTGGGATGAAGTTGGAACTCACGTTGATAAAGCTGACATTGAGCTCCTTGGCCGTGTAGCCCCTCTGTAGGTTCCGTCTGGCATATACATCGTAGTCACGGACAATTCGGGTGATGATGTCTGATGTGGAGATACCTTCTGTCCTCTGTGTTGGAGCAAACATGCCTAGCCCAAGAACACATACAAACACTGTGACATTCGGGTAGCTCAAGCAGTAGGACTAGATGGAAACTGGCAGCAATATTACCTTTCTCAAAAAGCAGAATCTGCTATCACTAAGTGAGATCTGGAAATACTGACATGCAGAAGGAGAACTGAATCAAAATCTAGGGCTAAGGAAAGGAGAAGCCATATGGTTCTAATGTTAAGAAAAATATGGGGTTGGAGAAGGGTTTCCTAAAATTAAAAGAGGTATCAGAAGTAGATGTTTAAACTGAGAATTGATACATGGTGCTATGTTCACCTTAACCTCTTATCTAAAGTGTGACCTAAAAGTGGATGTTGAATTTCTCAGTATATAAATTTTCCTCTGTAAAGTAACAATGTGGTTGAATCTCTGTCACTGCCCCTAAGACTCCATAAAGTGAGGATGTACAACAACTTACTCACCTGCTTCTTTGATGTGCTTATAAACATCATCACTCCCAGCAGAAGAATAAGGGATGTCATCATGGGCTACAAAATCAATCTGAAAATAAGGAAACATTATTTAAAACCCAGGATAACTGCCCTTCAGAAAGAACCAGTAAATATTCTCAGGCCCAGAAAAAGGACTACAAGGCCAGGCCTCAAATAGACTTTTTCTCTTTCTCTCTTTGCTTTGCTCATAAACTCCACAAATCATTCACGAGCCACCCAACCTAATTGTTCATGGATCTTAAACATGACGCTAACCAGTTTCTTTTTTAGCTATTCCTCCTGGTCTACTGGAAGTGCTACCTTCACTCTGTATACCAGTCACCATGCTGTGGTAAACAGGGCTGGACAATTTGCTGGTATGCTAGTTAGTGGGTGGGGCTGAGGAAAGAAGAAAGGAAATCTCCCCATCCTCCTAGGTCTACAAGGATTGGTCAAATACGGTTTCTAAAAATATGAGAAAGAGGTCACTTTGTTAACTGGTTCCTCTCTCAGTCCATGAGATGAGTGGGAATATAAAAATAGCAACAAGAGCCCTTCTACCAGAATAGATACATCTGTACTCCAGAGAAATGCAAAACCCAAAGCCATAAAAGACCTTTAGGTCTCAGATCTATCATTTTACTATTGTCAATACCTCTTGCCTGGGATCAATAATCTTACTAAACCTCACTTATTTACTCCTTTCCTGAATAGGCCGTATGCCCTTTGCTAATACAATTGTTAACACCACCATACCAGCTCCCAGAAGCCACTGTAATGTGAAGTACGCTCATCAGGGCTATGTCTGGGATAACATCAGCTATGCTCAGCTAACATCTCGATTACCATGAACAACCTGTCAGGGCTCTATAGGCAGCAAAGTGAAAATAAGACTCGTGGTTGAGGACATACTGCTAACACGGAGAAAAGGGAATCTGGAAGTTCCTCTAGCTAATTCTGCCTGGGCCTGCCTGGCTATGTTGCTCATCACCTTTGGTACCACTGGCTGCTAAATGCTGATTAGAAAAGCTGAAGAACTATAAAAGGTGTGTCCTAATCCCAAATAGTTATAACAAATACCCCTTAGCTTCAGGCCTACCCAATATTGCTTTTGAAGACCTTTGGCTACCTTTTTCTTTCTTGCCTCATTGAACAATTCACCTTCAACATTCTAGACACTCTGTAGAGAACAGACAATATCCTTGCTGGTTCCTCAAACTTGTGGGCCTCCAACCTGATCTGATAAATTCTTCTCAGCATTTGTACCCACCTTTTGTAGGAAACCTGCTGATTTAATGTGGGAGAATAAAAAGGAGATAAGGGATTTTATACCAACTCACTGAGTAAAAGTGAGAAACCTCCCTGATTTCTGATCCCACATAATTTCTAGCCCCAAATCAAAGTCTTGAAACTAAATTTAAATCAATCAAAAGAAGTCTATGTTTATATATCTTATTTCCTGGAATGTGAACTCCTTGAGAGCATGGCTGGGGCCATGTATATTCTAAAGAGACTGGTATGCTTTGAGGATGGACACACCTCTAGTGGGGGAGGGAAGGGGTGGAGTGGAATCACATAACTGAAGAGTTCAATTCTGGTCCTGCTAGAGTACAATCTGGATTGGGTTATTTGGCCTCCCTGGCCCAGTTCCTATATGTAAAGTGGAAATAATAACTATCCACTGGGATTTTTGTGGGGAGTAAGGGAAATATAGTGGATGTAAAAGTGCTTGTAAACCATCAAACCTGATAAAAAATGTCACAGATGACTATTATTAGTAGGAATAATACTGTCATTTCTTGTACATGAAATTTACATAGAATTTAGAAGATAAGGCCAGTGGAAAAGGCCCAAGTACCAGAAGCTTTGAAAGTTGAGGGAATTCCAGAACAGGGGATGGGGGCATGTGCTCAGTTTCTTACCCGGTGTTCTGCCAGGAACTCTGGAGTCAGGGTCCAGGGGGCATTCCTCACCACCTCATCCACATAGCGGCAGTGCTGCACTGCATCATAGCGCTCGTTTTCATTCATCACTGTGAAGCCTTTGAAGTTGTGGGTTAGCTCATCACTGCAAACTGAGTTCACCACATCATAAAGTTGTGAGTCGAAGTCCCTTTTGCTTAACCACTCCTCAGTCATCAGCCTCTCCCATTTCCTAGGACTGTAACCCATCTCCCCACCTGGATGAGAGTCATCTCAATGCAGCTCAGTCTGAATAACAATGCTTTTCCTAATCCAAGATACGCCTTCAGGAGCAACACTCACTAAATAATATGTTCACACTTTGGAGAAGGGAGGCTACACAGAGGACTAAGCTCTTTGCCTTTTAAATGAAATTGCTGTGCATTTCTGCATCAGTTAGAAGTTTTACAAAATGCTTTCTTATTATATTTGTATAAGACTGGACTGGACCACATAACATTTGCTAGCAGACAATTGATTCAAAATGATAAACTGAAATCTAAAGTAAATGCTGTTTTTAGGTAGGCAACAGGGGTCAGACTGCTGAAACCCAGCTAAAAACAGTGAGATAAATCCTGGACATCTCAGGTCAATGAGCTTAGAACTTCTCTCTCCAGGCTGATACACATCAGGTTTCATATGCTTCACATACTTCATATGCTTCACATTTTAGAGAGGCTGTAATGTATCCCTCATTTAAAAACGAAAATAAGAGCCAATATACTCAGGTTATAAAGATAGTTGAAAAAAGGCTACTATAATTTTTTTCTGGATGGCACCTAAAGTCATCAGATGTTTTCTTACCTCCCACAATGAGGTATGTATTAGGGAAAAGGTTCTTTGCTTGCATAAGAGCCCGGGCATGACCAGAATGAAATAAGTCAAATATTCCATCTGCATAAACTCTCACAGGCCGTTCACCTAAATCCAAAGGAAAGAATTTATCACAGAAATACATTGATTCAATACCTCATTTTTAACAAATGGAAATGGCACTGTATGACTGTTCCACCCCTGCATATCCCTCTTTTAAGGTGTTCTCTGGATATTCACCTTAATTTGGGGTGTTTTGGGGTTGTGAGGAATAACATCACAAACTTCCTTGACTCAAAGACGCTCTTGACATCATATCAACTAGCTCTCTTTGTTAGCCTGGTTGTACCAAACTGCTCAGGTAATTGAATTTCACGACTGCTTTTTCCTCAAGTTATTTTAGAATTAAAAAGGAGAGTTATACAAGAGATACATCTTTTTTTTAAAAGAGATATATCCTAAACTTCGAAATTCTCACCTTCAGCTTATGTTTAAATTTCAGTTATGTTTAAAAAGTGTAACTAAACTATATTCTGGCTTCTAGCTCTCTCATTTTCAAGCTGCCTTGCTTACTAATGACTATTGCTTTGCTTTGAAAGTAAATAGTGATTCAGAAGGGTGAGACAGAAAAAGAGGGAAGGTAAGTACCAGTTACATACTTATTGCTTCTCAGTTCCAGATTCACTCTCAATACCTGCTCTGTGATAACAGATGAAATTTCTTCAAGCATTTCTCCTTGCTAGTGAGCATGATGTTACACTTTCTCAGTAAAGGGTGATATATCACGTATTTGAAAATCAAATAGAAATATTTTAGAACTTTGTATTAGAACTTTTCCTCCTCTCCTCTCCATTAGTGAGAATAATACAGAACTGACTGTCAATTTATTTTTAATGGTAGTAGACTATGAAAGAAAAGGCAAGAAATGATCTCCTGGGTACAAGACTAATTCCAAAGCCAAATAAACAAATTGAGAATGAAATTGATATAATGGTTCACCATGATTCAAATGATAATTCTAATGGAGTGCTAGTAACGTATTTCTACTACATGAATGAAGAAAGAGCTGTTTCACTGTAGCAGCAGAAAATAACAGTAGGAGTATCTACATCATTCTGAGAAAGAAGAGCCAGAGCTTCACTGGATGTACCATACTGAAGGCAGGGATAAAATACATCTCCCTCCTGCCGTGAGAACAGTGAATCAAGGGGAGGAAACTGGTTCTCAGGAGGTTTATGGACTTCTCTTTTTAGATAGCTTTATCCATAAAACAGGTAGCTTTTAAACTGAGAAGTCTACACAGCTAATAGAAATACAAATTGGTACAACTTTTAAGAAAGGCAATAGACAATATCAAAAGACAAATGACAAATACTTATACCTTTTGGCCCAGCTATTCCAATTCTAAGAATTTATCTTACAGACACATTTGCAAATAAGTTTGTTATTCACTGCAGCATTGTTCACAGTAGCAAAAGTTTGGAAACAACCTAAATTTCAGTGGAAGACTGAATACGACATTATCCACCCACTAAAAGGGTGGGAAGATTTATACATTATTTGCTTAGATATCCACAAGAAATTGGTAATACTGGTTGCCTGTAAAAGGGGTCCTAGGGGTACTAGGGAGACAGTGGTAAGAGGAAGACACTTCACTTTGTACCCCTTTTGTACTTCATGAATGTTAGGCTATGGGAAAGTATTGATTTTATAATACAGGAAATAAATTTTTAAAATAAGTACACCAATACAATGAAAAACTGAGAAATAATATGATAGATGTAAGAGTCAGAAAAGTTATAGCTCAAGCTTGCCAACCAGCCTCATTCCTCTGTGAACTTAATTGCTTAAGATTAAACCTCAGTTTCCTCATCTATAAAACAAAGCAAAACAAAACAAAATCTGAGTAGTATAATCTTTCTTCTACATCCTAGAAATCATGACCCTGCAGTAACTAACATACTTCTATCCTTTCTAAACAAGTTCAGAGTGGCTATGATCCCACTTTATTTGATCCTAAAAGACAAAGGATGGAATACAAAACTTGAGAATATTGTGTTGTTTCTTTGCCATTAACATCTAACAAGGGCAAAGTGAGATAAAGGAGATTTAGCTCAGTAAACACATTTCGTGGATAGTGGCAACTGCATAGAGCACTGTTGATTGAGTGGCTATTTGGCGGGAGTTAATCATCCCATATTAGGGCAAGTCACCTCTGAACCCTTTCTTGGACTGGCCCGAGATATGCCTCTTACCCTCTTCCCCAGCCTTTCAACCTCTCAATTCCCTATGACTTAACCCCAAGTCTCTGGCAAACCCAGCCTGGTATATCAACAAAATGGCCAGAAGGGGCCGCTGTTGAACTAAAAATCTGGGGAAAAAGCATAAGTTATCCATTCTTTTACCAAGTGGCTATTGGTCAGGATGACCTTACCCTGATTTACATCTGTTGTGCCAGCATATTATCAAGAGCAACCTCTTTCACTCTCAAAATGATCTTGATTTGGATTATAAATTATAGCCCTTGCACTACTGCTAGATTAACTAGATGTTCTTCTTTAAGCAGAAGAGAACTGGGTTTCAATTTGTTAGCTCTTTTGATATATTCTCTCAAACAGCTGTCACTGAAACATTCTGTCTTTAACATATTTCCATTGCCCTTCAGACTCTGCCTTTTTCTTCCTTTCTCCAACAGAATATAGTGCTGATTTTTTTAATCTTCCAAAAGAGATGATCATCTCATCTCTCAAGCCCTATTTCTTTTAATTCTAAGTAGTGAGATAGTGAATTTTCTCCAAGATTACACAAACTTCCTTCTTGCACCCTCTTAGCCTCCCTAAGTGAAAACCTGGGGGAAGGGGGAGGGATGCCCCTTGTTCCAGTTATTGGTTTAAAATTCACTAACTACAGTATGTGTAGATTATTTATTGGTTTATTCCTTATCCAGCATTGGCAAAAAGACAGTCATTACTTGGTTATTTAACATAAAACTGAACAGACAGAATAAGATAAAGGAAAAATCAGAGGTCGAGGTCAAATTAGATTGGTAAACTTTAGAGGCCAATTTGTGACTATTTGTTCCACTTAAAATACAATCAGTTTGCTGATGGCCTTCTATTACTTATAACTAATGTCTATCAAGAGTAGCACCACTCCAGGACAAAAAGAACACAATGATGGAAAAACTTAGGTTGTAGCTTCAATTCTATCCCTAATTATTTGTTTTATTATAGAGGAAACTTCACTTCTTAGCTTCTATGGACTTTAATTTATTAATGTGTATAATAAAGAGTTATAGTCTTTATAGTAGATAATCTCAAAAATGACTTACTTGTAAAATTCTTCTATTCTAAAATTTTTAAAATTAGATTTATTAGTTAGTGCTTGTTAATTATAAGCTCAAAACTTGGGAACAGTACACACACATACATACATTTTTACCTACCACAATTGGTATGTAGATTGATTAGCAACAATGTGGGTAATATAACTAACGTATCAGATCTGAGTGAGTTACTGCATTCTGGGAATATGTGTCAACAGAGAGTATATGAAAAGTTCTTGCCCTCAACAGGCTCTACTATCACATCTGACTGTGACCCTTAACTTGTTGGTGCCATTTTGAAATTTCACCTGCCAACACTATGGGCTGTTTTTCCTGGTTGTCATTTTACCCTGCTCCATTAGCCTGCCTATTACACAAGTAAGAGGAGCCAAACCCAAAAAATCACATCATGAATCAGAAGGGTTGTGATCAACATGAGCTATATCTAAACACTTTCACAAAAGGAAAGGATTTCTCTTGAATTCTGAGAACCCAAAAATCATACTCCATATAGTCAAGATACAGCCAAGGGATACTGGGATCCCTGGCCTGACACTGTCCAGCATTCATTTCTATTCATATTTCACTACTCCTAAGTCACAACAGAAAGGAAACATACTAATATAATTAAGAAGTAACCGCAAATATCTTCTATATACTGGAAATGTATAGATTTGTGGATATAACGGCCTCTTATTTCTCAGTGTTTGCCTGGGTTTGAGTCTGGCCCTACATTTACAGAGTAAACACCACAGTAATCAAGAGAACTGAAAAAAGATTGGAAAAAAATAAAAGGAAAATTTACAGAACAGTAAGAACTGATGCTTATGGGACTTTATATTCAAAACAAATGCTAATGGAGGTTTCCATTTACGATGATCCTTAAAACCAAAAGAGGAAGAGTATCTAGAATACACATTAACAACATTAACAATTTATATACCCAAAAATTGCTAATTAATGATGGCAACTAAGTATACAAATAGACCACAGGCTTTGAAAATAATAAAGCAAGTCTTTAAAAAAAAAACCTGAAAAAATGATAACATCAATAAAGATAAAATTAAGTGCTAAGCATCTCCTAACTTGGGCTATTTTTGTCCTCCATAAGTCAGCAGCATCATAGCTAGTGTGTACTGACTGATAGAAAGGAAAACTGGGGGGACAATTCTGAAGGCTACTAAAAATGTGACAGTCATTATCTGGACCTTTGTAAACAGGTAAGATTAAAACCCAGCTCAGACTAATATTGTATTGTCTCTGCTCCACTAAATCTCACAGCTGTGACAAAATCCTGGGAAACAAGTATACAACAAGAAGAAATGAAATTCTATGGAGTACAGTTATCCTCCCAAATGGAAGAGCAAGGGAGATGGGAGGAACGCCTCCCCCAACTAGCCTTTATAGGTAAACTGAGGGAAGAATATAGAGAGTAGGTGTATATTTGAAAAATACAACTGAATCCTAAAGACAATAGTAAAACAACAAAATTAATTAGGCATTTACTTACAAGGAGTTCCTCTGCTGGCTTCTTCCATAGTTACCCTGACATAGGGCTTACTAAAGTCTACTTCAATTTCATCAGAAAAAGGTGCTGGCTGCCGTAAGCCCTTAAGAAGAGGAAAGTGAAGGCAAAGAAACTTAAATTCAATGGCATAAACTGAAATACTCAAAAAATGGCAGCTTTAAAAAACAATCAGTTATTCAATATGCTGTGATTAAAACTCTTCCTGAAACTCATAACATGAAAAAGATTTTTTTTTAAATAAGCATTCCAGCATGACAAGTGAAAGTTGCAACCTTTTACCAAACGGACAAATCGTGGAATGAAAGATAAATGTCTTGCTGGTGATTTCAGAGTAAGACTAAGCAAGGTGGCCGGGGACCTAAGTATAGTCTCAACTAATGGGTCCGGAATGACGGGTCCTCTGCCACATGGCAGAACAGCCAACCCTGATCTGTGTGATGAAACTGCCAAGGCTCACAAGTGCCTTTTCACACCGCTTTAACTATGGGACTGGGAAGGTACACAGCTCTCATGTGCAATTCCCCCCTCAACCCCTACAGTGAGTTAATTTACCAGGACATCAGGTTATTTTGCATATTTTGAAAGAGATTAGTTCAGAGGTTATTACAGGGAGAAGGAAATGGACTTCAGAATTTTTCCTTTAATGCTGCAATGGGAGTACAAAAGGTTACAGATAAAAGATTTTGTGAAGGAAGAATAGGTAGGACATGGTAAAGAGAAAATATTTGTCACTTGAGAAAGAGAGGAGTTTATAACTGAGGTTTAGAACTAAAGAAAATAAGACTGCAGTACCATTAGCAAGAATAGAGAAGTTTTTTAAAAAGGAGTTGAGATCAAAGAAAATGAGAACTGAGAGTCTTTGAATTTGGAGATTCAAATGACTACATATTCTAGAATACGTTAGTGAAAGTCAGAACAATAGTGCCTTTAAGAAAAATGGAAGACAAGGAAATAATTAGTAACAATCTTTCATTAGAGATACGTTGCCACAAAGGGAATGAGAAAAATAGGTACTTAGAGGGAACAGAAGAATCAAGTGGCAGTTCTTGTTTTTGGTTTTGGTTTTTTTAAGTTGAGGAGATCTGTACATGTCCAAGACAAAGGAAAAGGAGCCAAAGAAATTGAAAATAACGGGGGGGGGGAACCCAGATAATTAAGGAAAGAAGAGTCTAGAAGAATGACAAAGAATGGCCTCAAAGGAAAGCACGGCGGAAGGTGTTAGCCCTAGAAATAAAAAGGATGACATTTTCCTAAAAGCACAAGCATTTCTAAATGCTCTTAATTTTCTCAGTATAGTAAAGAAGAAAGTAAAGTTACCTATGAAGAACAGGGAGCTTAGAATGAGACTGAAAGCTTGAAGAAAGTATAAAATATTAGGAGTAAATGTTGTGGGAAATGTATTTAAGCATTTGATTAAGCAAATGATTAATGGAACTATTGAGCACTATATACAGCCCAGATCAAGCTAGAAACTTTAATCATTAGAAGGCCAAGTTAACAGGTCCACGAAGAGAAAAAAAGGAATTAAAAGTAACTGAAAAATCTAGGGTTAGTCCCTGACGAATGGAAGAGAGGCAAAAGAGGGAAGTGAAGAGTTAAGAAGAAAGAGAGATCTAGACATTTCTCCAAAAAAGATATACTAATGGCCAAAAAACACATGAAAAGATGCTCAATAATGTTAGTCACTACAGAAATGCAAATCAAAACCACAATGAGATACTGCTTTACACCCACTAGGATGGCTAAAACCAAAAATACAGGCAACAACAGTGATGGCAAGAATGTGGAGAAATCGGAACCTTCACACACTGCTGCTATGAATGTAAACTGGTGCACAGCACTGGAAAATATTTCTTCAAAATGTTAAACAAAGAATACCATATGACCCAGAAATTATAGTCCTCAATATATAACCAAGAGAAGTCAAAACATATGTTTAAAAAAATCTTGTACATGAGTAATGTTCATAACATTATTAACAATAGCTAAAAAATGGAAATAATCAAAATGTCTAATAACTGGTGACTGGATAAACAAAGCAGCATGTCTCCACAGACTCACCTATAAAAAGGAAAGAAGTATTGATAAACGCTACCACCTGGATGAACCTTAAAAACACTGTGCTAAGTAAAAGAAGCCAGACACAAAGGCCACACAGTGTGTGATTATGCAAAATGTCCAGAATAGACAAATTCCTAGAGAGAGAAAGTAGACAGGTGGTTACCAGGATGTAGAGAGCGGGGAATGAGGGAATGATTGCTAACAGGTACAGGGTTTCTTTTTGTGGTGATAAAAATGTTCTGGAATTAGATAGCAGTGATGGTTGTACAACATTGTGAATATACTAAAAACCACTGAATTGTACACTTTAAAATTATTAAAATGGTGAACTTTGTTATGTGAATTTTATCTCAATTTTAAAAGATACATTAAGTATCCTATCTTTCATAACTCTGTTTCTTCAATCTTCCTTGTATACTGTGTATACTCCAAGGCAGAAGGCAAATGCAGCTGTCCTTCCTGGCTAGGATTTGTGCTGAATCAATTCCTCCTAAGTATAGAGAATGAAAACTAAGGTTCTTCAGCTGCAACAGATAAGCAAAATCTTTAACTCTCTAGGGTTGCCTCCAGTTAGAATGAGTAGTATTTTTTAAAAACACCCTATTATTCTCTTCCCAGTTAGAGAACAATGTCTTTAAAAGCTGAGATTTATAAAAGTAGGACTAAGTGTTCCTACTAATGCTCTCCTAAAACAAACCTTCATTTTAACCTCAAAGGAATCCTACAGAATAATACTGCTTTCAGGTCTTTTGACTTTCTGTTAGCAAAGTATAAATGAAAGGGCAAGAGTCTGGAACTGGAAAAAACTTAGATCTAAATTCCAGCTCTATCACTTAATAGCGGTGAAATCACAGCAAGCTTCTAAAGCTTTCATTTCATCTTCTATAAAATGGAAGATAATCATATCTGCTCCACAAGGCTGCTGTGAGGATTAAATAGAAGAGCACATGGAAGGTAACTGGCACAATGTTTCACATATAGTAGGCACTCAACAAATCTGTATCAACAGCATTAGTTCATTTTCTCTTCCATTCTATGGAACATGTTTCATTATCCCAACAAAATTAACTAAATTGTATTAATCTAAGAAGTTAGTTTCTAAATGCTATATAAATTTTCTAAATCTATACAAATTATAACTAATATTATTATAACTAAAAATTAAAACTTATAATGATTATTATCCTCCAAATTATAAATGATCTTCTGAATGCAATACTACTTTCATAAAAACTTTTTCCTGATTATATTCACATACATTATTCCTCAGAATTCTAGCGAAAGAGAAGAGATTCTGGTGTCCTTACTCATAGGAAAGTAGCAATAACTCAAATAATATAATACTAGAACTTGATATTAGCTTCCCAGTATGTACTCTATTTCCAACAATTCTTAGACATTTTTCAGCAAAAAGTTTCAGAATGTCACAGAGAAACATTTCCCATTTACCCAAACATTCTGCACAAATGGTAATATATCCTCCTAAGTGCCAAATTATTTCAATAATGCCCGGGAAAAAGCTACAGAGTCAAGAGGAATTCCATGTGGTATGGAAAAAAGGGATAAGGAACAGAGCAGAAAGATTCGAACCCATGGGGATTTGGTTTTTTAAAAAAAGAAGAGAAAAACAGTAATTGTCCCTGACTCCTGCTGCCATTTCAATAGATGCAAACAGTGAGCTCGTCTATCTATTATCTGGATTTTTCGTAGACCTTACAAGTTGTACTAAACTCTTCATCTTCCTCCTAAAATAGTTCTTCCTCCTGTATTTCTTATCTGAGTGAAAAACACCCCATCTACACAAACAACCTAAAACTGAAACCTAGGAGTCATCCTCAACACCTCTCATCCTCTGCATCCTGATAATTTCCAATAATTGTCTATTTTACTTCTTAGAAACTTAAAATTTATCTTGTCCTCCTGTATCTACTGTCTTAGTTTAATCCCTCATCACCTCCAACCCTGGATCATTACAGTAACCTCACAATTACTCCTGTGGCTTCTGTCTATTCCTGTTTCAACCATCCTTTCCCAATTAGTACAATTTTCTAAACTGCATATCTGATCACATTACCTATAGGATAAAGTTCAAATTCCTTAGCACAGCATACAAAATCCTTCATGAACAGACCCTTATTGCAGATTCTGATTCTGAACTTTAAGCTGCAGTAGAATTACTTGCAGTTTGCTAACATACTACTATTTCATACTTCTAGAACTACAAGTTCTGCCTCAACTCTATCTCATGTCCATTTCTTAAATTCCTATTTATCCTTCAAAATTCAACTCAGAAATTATCTCAAGGAAGCTTTTCCAAAACCACTGTCCCTACCCCTGAATCAAAGTTAATCTGTTGATCCTTAGATGGCCATTGTACCTCTAAATTCCTTCTATTTGGCCCTTTTCATACTGTATCTTAATTACTTCTCTCTTTTCCTTATTTGTCTGTGAGCTTCTTAAGGGTAAACCATCTTTTAATATCTGCATCTCAATGCACAGCAAATGACACACAGCGGTTCTCAATATATGTAGTTTGAAATGAGATTATGAACTTTATTTTCATAAGCAGAACTTCAGCCAATTTTCTCCAGAGTTTAGGTACTTTGTGACTTATTCATACATATGATAAATATTAAGTCAGGCTGAATGTCTTATTCTTTGTAAAACTTTTTGTGATCCTTTTGATTTTACCTTTAGAAATACCTGTTTCAGTAAATCCTTTATACTTATAAACTAGCCATAAAATTATCCCTTAATTTTTCCTGTTTAATTCTTTTCTCTCCCTTATATCCATTCTATCCTGACCTACCAACTCAGCTACCAAATACTTAGTGATCCTTCCTACCTTTCCCTGCTTTCAAGGAAAGTATTTTTCTAAAGCTAGTAAGATCTGAGCTACAGAGCTCTACATTATGCTCACATCTCTCAAAAGTAAGGTATTGTTTATCTTTACATTCCTAGTAACTACTGCCATGCTGGCATATTGTAAGTATGTGATAAAATCTTGTTTGCTCAACTCAAATGTCACCTAATGAATGGATAAATAAAATGTGGCATGTGGTATACGATGGAATGTTATTTGTCAATAAAAAGAAATCAAGTTCTGAATATGCTACATTAATGAATCTTGAAAACATGCTCAGTGGAAGAAGCCAGCCACAAAAGATCACTTTTTGTATGATGCCATTTGTATGCAATGTCCAGAATAGGCAAATCTATAGACACTGAAACTAGATTAGTGATTTCTAGAGGTTGGGGAGGTTAGGAGGAAATTACGAGTGGCTGCTAATGGGTACAGGGCTTCTTTTGCAGGTGATAAAAATATTGTACAATTGGTTGTGGTGATGATAGCAAAACTCTGTGAATGTATTAAAACCCATTGAATTGTACAGTTTAAATAGGTGGATTTATGATCTCAATAAGCTGTTATAAAAAAAGAAAAAATTGTGTTTGTTTTCGCTGCAAGAGTTGAAAAGAATTCAGAGATAGAAAGCACATGTGTACAGTGGAGATGACAGACAAGTTTGTTTAGCAGACACTCCTCATTAGAGTCAGTCTGGCCTGTTGGGTGAGTGAATCTTTGACTATTACCCCATGTTAAATAGCCAGTGTGTACCAGAAAGGAATGTGAAATAGGCAGCAAGTCACTTAACTGATTTGTGACATGAATACATGAAGCAAAGTAATTTAAAGCATTGAGATCCCTCAGATTCTAAGGACCAAGAAATGTAAGACTTCTCAGAGCCCATTCCACTAAGGCTGGCCTTCTTTGCTGTTCCCCTGGCTATGATGATTGGCTGAGAGTATTACCTACTTGGTTATAACTTTTCCCTACTCCAAGTGAGATCGCTGAATTGGTGCCCACCAATTCCTTCACCTGAATTCTCTTAAGAAGTATCCAGAAATTAACAATGCTGTTTTGTTGACTTCTGAGTCATTTTCTGAGTTTACTTGCTGTGATATAAAGAATAATGGCCCCCTAAGGATGTCTACGTCTTATCCTCTAGAACCTGTGACTATGTTACCTTACATGGCAAAAGGGCCTTTGCAAATGTGATTAAAGGATTTTGAGCTAGGGAGATTATCCTGGATTAGCCAAGTTATGTCCAATGTAATCACGGGAGTCTTTATAAGTGAATGAAGGAGGCAGGAGAGCCAGAATGAGAAGGAGATGTGATGACAGAAGCAGCAGTCAGAGTGCTGTGATTGCTGGCTGGCCCACGAGCAAAGCAATATGGGAAACGTTTAGAAGCTAGAAAATGCAAGGAAACAGTTTCTCCCCTAAAACCTCCAGACCTACCAAAACTTTGATTTTAGCCTTCTGAGACCCATTTCAGACTTCTGACCTCCAGAACTATAAGATAATATAGCTGTATTGTTTCAGGCCACTAAATTTGTTAATTTGTTACAGTAGCAATAGGAAACTAATACACTTGCCTCCACCACCATCATCAATATCAGGCCTGGAATATATCCCTCCTATTTGTGGAGTCCAGTTGCTTTTATTGCTTAAGATAGAGTATTGCTTTGGAATAACTGTTAATTGTGTCAGAGTAGAAATGTTTTTTCTTTTGGGCCACAAAGCTCCAGACCTAACCAGTGGAAACTGCAGTTCAATCAATGGCTAATGGTCAATTTTGGTATAGAAAATACAGAAACATAAAATTCTGTCACTGGGATTTTGAAACATGGATTTCATAATACTATATATCAATAATAACCCCAATTGCATAACAAATATTCTTTGACATGTTTTTTAGGGGAAGCTTCGGGAAGGGTACCAACCTGAGACAAGATGAGCAGTATGGAATGGGATCTTTCACCAAAGGCTTGGAAGTAGTTAGGAAATACAAAGATAACATCCCAGAGATAAAAGAACATGAAGTGGGCAGTAATAGAAAACGGTTCTCATCTAAGATATAACCAGTAATAAAGTGAAGGAGTGATATGAGAGAAAAGACAGTAAAACACAGAAAATTAAACACCATGACATGATACCAAGATTAGATCACTGGAGCTCCAATTTCTCTATTTCATTTATTTGAATTTAATCTTTAGCCTAATACACATACAACCTCCAAATTTTCCTAACATTCTTTCTTCAGTTTCAATGTAAAGCTCTTGCAACTGAGCTGTAAGATATAATCTGGTAAGAAAGCATAAGATTTCCAACAACTGTTGGAAACTTATTATTCACACTTACTATTCATTCTTTCCATTATTAAAGAAGACTTGTAATGCTGGTATCAGCAGTGTTGTATCAGTTTCTACCCTCCTCTTTCCAGGTTAAGTGTTCAACAAAGAAATCTCTTCCTTACTTACAACTGCACAACGTGGCATTTTTAAAGGAATTCCATCCTCCTCTGTTGCTCCGTTGGGTCCAGGTGCCTCTTTCCTCCTCTTCCTCGTGTTGACCTTCGCTGAATTCTGTGCATCCATCTTCTTTTAACTGGTCCTAGACACTGAAAAGAAATTTTTTTCTCATTGGGGTGGGAAAAGCCTGTTACCAGTACTTCAGAGGGGTTAATATGGATGCACTTAGCATCAATTCCATAGCACACATTTCACAAAGATGAACCAATTGCTTCTGGCAAAAACAACAGAGCTTCACAAAACCCAGGCTCTAGTAGAAACACTGAAATGCCTCTCTGTGGAACAATGGCCACTATTAGTCACCTGACCTTGGAAATTATTCCCCAGCCAATGCAGCTTGTATATTAACTGCTAATTTCATATCTTGACTGCATGCAAAAGACTGGAATAACATGGCCAAGAAAGTTAGTTACACAGACTTTCCCACTACCCTTAACATTATATCCCTAGGACACCTAGAGGTATGACAGATGCAAGGAAATATAAAAGGTATGTCTTTGGTACAGATGGAGAAAAGAGCCTTTTTTTTTTAAAGGATGGCCATCAGCAATTCCTGGTTTAACAAAGCATTGATTTCTTAACTCTAACTGCTCTGTAGATTTCAGACACGACTCCTCCAGAGTTAAGAGCCATGAAAACTGTTTAGAAAGTGTACTGTATATTTTAAATATCCCTCCTCTTCCTTTTTCAATACTCATTTCCCCTTCCTCTTTCAGAGTCTAAGCACCTTAAGCTTGTTCAGAGTCCCCAGCTACTAAAACCCCATCCAGGGTTCCCCTTCCCTTTAAAAATAAAAATATTTATTATCATCTCATTTAGCAGAAAGCTTCTAGCAACTACCACAAAAAAAGTTCTGAATATTTGATGTATCATGTTTAGATTCTGGCTTGTGCTACCCCTCTAATACCCTGAAAGGATATCTGCATTTTTCTGGAGTAACATAATTTGCACAAATAAATTAACTTCTTGATAATGATGAAATTTTAGGCATCAGTCAGAAATTGGGGATAGAGGAATTTTAATGATCAACTGCCATCTCTGCCCAAGATATGGTACAGTGAAAGGGGGGAAAAAGATGCTCAGAGAAGAGGTGGAAAACAAAACAAAATACCAGACAGAATGAGGTCTTTCTACTCTGCCTACTGCCTCTAATAAGCCCTCCAGAATAAGATGTTCATCTAAACAATTGCAATTTTGTCTTACTTTCTTCCTTCCTGCTAAATTCCAACTGGCAATGTGACAAGATCTACAAGAAACCTGACCTAATTCTTAGAGACTGAAGGTGACACCTCATGAGTCATGGCTAAGTATTAGGCAGATATGAGAAAATGTCGTAAGAGTCTAAACTGAAAGATGAACACCACCCAGAAACTTTTCATCACACACACAAATTAAAATTTAAATGTCTTTTATTATAAATTAAAATAAAATGAAAAGAGAGTACTATATATTTAATTAGTGTTTCCAGTGATGATGCTCAGAGATTTTCTTCATTATTGTTATTAATTATTCTTTCAAAATATTAAATTTACTACTCCCATCTCACTGGTCTGAGAGGCCTACTATGAATGCCTAATCAGTCCAATTAGTGACCTTTTCTAATTTGCATACAACGGAAATTTGCTGCAAGTATCTGTTAAATTCTGAGTAGGCAGACAAAATCCATCATAAGAAATATAATCATCTATCTGGTGTCAGGTAGCTCAAGGTCAGAAAGTCAATACCATTGAGTACTTATTGTGTAAAAGGTATTAACACATAATTTTTTAAGTATAAGCTATCTTCTTGAGAAGCCTTCAACCAAGGTGAGGAAATCATGCTTATGATATAAAAATGCTCCTTAGTAGATAAACAAGATTACACTGTATAGCACAGGGAAATACATACAAGATCTTGTGGTAGCTCACAGCGGTAAAAAAAAAATGTCACAATGAATATATGTATGTTCATGTATAACTGAAAAATTGTGCTCTACATTGGAATTTGACACATTGTAAAATGACTATAACTCAATAAAAAAATGTTTTAAAAAAAAAGCTCCTTAGGATTCTAAACCATTGGGGGAAAATTTGTTTAGGAACAGGATTATTTACATAGTTTCAAAGTATCTTTCCTTCAGTGACTTATTAATTACAATGTGAAAAGAGTTACCTTTAAAGTGAAAAAAAAAATCTTAGCTAAATGATTAAAGTTAATTAACATCACTAATAATGCCTCCTGATGTGAGGCACTGAGGACACATTACCTGCCAAAAATGCATAACCTATATAGATTTATGAGGAATAATCAGACAAACCTCAACTGAAAGACGTCCTACAAAACAATAAGCCTGAATTCTTCAATGACAATCATGAAAAATAATGAAAGGCTGAGGAACTGTTCCAGGTTAAAAGAGACCAAAGAAATAACACCTAGATGTACTGCATAATTCTAGATTGGGGGAGAAATTGTTATAAACGATAGTTATTAGGACAATCAGTAAAATTTGAATATGGACTGTGTGTTGGATAATATGCATCAATATAATATAAACTTCTCAAATTTGATAACTACATTGTTATATAAAAGACTGTCCTTGTCTTTAAGAGATAAATGTTGAAGTATTAAGAGATGAAAGGTTACGATCTCTCCAAATTACCCTCAGGGGAAAAAAAAGGAAAGAAAAAGAAACGTGTATATTACATGTAAAAAGGCAAAGCAAATTTGGCAAAATGTCATCAATGTATGAATCTAAGTGGGGCATGAAGGAGTTCCTTTAAATATCCTTGCAACTTTTCTAAAAGGCTTTACTTTTTTTTTTCAAAGTAAAAAGTTTAATTTTTTAAATTCTCAAAAACAATTCTACACAGATAGGCCCTCATCAAAGTTGTCTTTTGGGGTCTCTGGAAACAGATTCCCTCTCCTTCCTAACTCTATGAATCAGTGTAGATGATACATATATTCCAAGAAGTATGTTTTAATAATCTATATGTCTTACAAGGAAGTACATAATAACAGCAACATTCATAATAATACCCATCTTTTGTGTCAGTATTTAGCAGTGCCAGGCACTGTGCTCGGTACTTTATATACATTAGTCTCATTTGACTCATATAACCTAAGAAGCAGGTGTTTTTAGTCGCAATTTTCAAGTGAGAAAACTAAGGATCAGGGAAGTTAAGCAACCTATCCAGAGATCAGCCAGTAAGTGGGTGGGAGAGCCAGGATTTAAACCTAGACTAGTCTAATTCCAAAGTCCTTACCACTATATTCTGCTGTCTCCCAGAAATCCAAGATTTTTTAAAAGAAGCTGTCTCATTACTACTGCTGCTTCCTTTAATCAAGAACATTCTTTCTATGGCATGGATCCCTTAAGTTTTTGCAAACTTAAGTCAGACCAGCCTAACTGACCAGTGGAATAAAAGGTTACAGTCACTTAAAGACAAACAAGGTTCCAGGACAAATCAAAGAGAACTGACGTGGCTGCTGGCCTGCTTCCAAGGCTGCCTGATTTGTCAGCGGTACAGATATGCAGATCGTTCCTACTGGATAGTTTTGCTAGAATTTCCTGATATGCTTCCAACTAAAGCAATAAAGAATTCTTTCATTCTCTGCTTCTCCCTCTTCTGACATTACAAATAGGTGGTGCTTAAATTATTTGTACTTTTCATTCATGATACAGAACAGACTTTAAAGGGTGCCATAATACATCAAGGGGGAAATGTCATATCATATTCTCACCAGTCATTTTCCATGACTTCAAGTTAAAATTCCTTCAAGTTTAATAGAAAAATACTTCACACATCTAAAGACATGTCTAGCAACTTCTCAGAAGTCTTTGCTCTGTGTATGGGTTGGGTCGGGGAGAGGATATATGTGCTATAATATTTTTACAGCTTTATTGAATGAGACATAATTGACACAGAATAAAGTGTGTATTTTAAAGTGTGTAATTTAATGAGTATTAACATATCCATTTACCTGTGAAATCATCAAAATTAAGATAATGAACAAATCTCTCACTTTCAAGTTTCCTCATGCCACTTTGTAATCCATCTCTTCTCCCCACTCTGACTTTGCTATGCTTTTTTGTTTGTTTTGTTTTGTTTATGTTGTGGTAAAATATACATAATATAAATTTTGCTTTGCTGTTTAACTGCTTATTTCTTGAAGTATTGAACCATCTTGTTGTATGATTCAACTTAACCAGCCAAACACATAGTACATATCATCACACTAGAAAGAAGCAAAGGCTCTAAATACTGCCAGTGTGGTTTTAAAGATATTCTAAAGTCAAATTGATACTTGGGGTCACTATATATTGTTACACTGGATCTATTCTACTAGATTAAAAAAATTATAACAAAAATATAAAATATCATAGAAGACTCAAGGCAAGAGAAGCTAAAGTAAAATTCACAAAGAAAAATATCAAGGCAACTATTATTATTATTATTATTATTATTATTATTATTATTATTATTATTATTATTATTATTTTACAAGGCCCTTTGGTAACTAATACTAATACATTTTACCTGTATTTCAGTTAAGTATATACATTCTTTAAAATCTCTCCATCCTCCTTATATAACACCTCTAATCAGATTTCTAAAGCAGTGTTTCTCAGTATTTTTTATCCACATTCCATTTTGAGAAATGTAAAAATCTTCAACCTCACTCCGTTTGCATAGTGTAGTGATTAAAAAGAGGTCAGACTCTAAAATCAGATTATCTACGTATGAATCCCATTTCTACCACTTTCTAGCCAAGAAAATTTGGACAAATTCCTCACTCTCTCCAAGTCTAAGTTTCAACATCTAATGAGGTTTAAATGGAGTAATCCATGTAACACTTTTAACTCAGTGTCTGGCACTATTAATTGACTGTAAGTGTGTGGGTTTATTTCTGGGCTCTCTGTTCTGTTCCATTGATCCATATGTTTGCTTTTGTGCCAATATCACACTGTCTTGATTACTATAGCTCTGTAGTACTTTCTGAAATCTGGGAGGGTTAATCCTCCAGCTTCATTCTTTTTCTTCAGTATTGCTTTGGCAATTCTGGGTCCGTGATTCCATATAAATTTTAGGATTATTTGTCTTAGTTCTGT